AAAAAATTCTCAAATACAATCATATATACTTTATTTACCATTTCAGTCACACCAACGTGAAATTCTACTTCTCTGCTTTACAAGTGAACCGAACGTTTACCTATTATACCGATGTCCGCCGAGTGTACACAGTGTATCGGAAATCCTTCTCCTCATCAGCTTTACAGTAAAAATCGTTTTTTACGGCTCATAATTCGAAACATTTCGCCAAAATCAAAGAGTCTCGTAGCAGCCTGTACACGCAATACAGTCGGTACACACTCAGTACAATCGGTACAGCCGGTACACTCAAAAGCAGTCGGTGCTTTAGATTCAGTCGGTACACTGTACACTTGGATATGTGACGTCATTTTCTGTAAAACGTTCTATTGTTCTCACTAACTAGCCAAAGAGAGATCCGCTTTGGAACGGTGCACGCCAACTGGCAAGCAGACGACTGATGTGTTCAGACAAACACCTGGTCACACCTGGACCTACACAGAATATATTGTATTACTTTCAAGTATCAATTCCTGTAAAGGATACTGCTAATCCGTTATCACACCACGCTTTGGCTTCGTTAAACTTTTTCAACTGAATGCAGGCACTTGCCCCTGTCAAGGCAAAAAGCAGCACATACGTTAGCTACAAAATATTTTTAATGAGCTGCAAATGAAGAAAAATAATGTCCGATTCGTATTTTGAAATAAAAATATAATGGACAAAATTACATATCGAGAATTATAACCGGAGATTCTAGTTTTAATTTCAGCCATTTCTTCGAGTCGTTTACTCCCTCAGTAACGTCTAAATCGCCCGGCCGTTAATGCTGTGCAGTGACGTCACTACTCGAAAACCTTAATTCATACAAAAATCAAAACACGATTTTCAACTGGCAAACAAAAAACTATCGTCTGGAAATGTCTATATGGTACAGAATTGATTTACTCTTAAACATAATTCACTTTTAACGTTCAAACTGTCAACTGCAAGCAGTACTTTGAACGAATCTATCGCCGAAAAAACTGATAGCAGAGTACAGCGCCATAATTCAATAATTAAACTCGATCGCGGTCACGTAATGAGATTAATACACTCACGGGACACTTCAAAACCACAACAATTTGCCTTGATTGAAAAAAAGCTATTTGTTTCTTAGTAAAGAAGAAAGAAAACAAGAACGAAAAGCTAACAGAGTCATTACACTTCATGACGGTGGAAATGACAGAGTTCGAATTATAAATCTCACAAAAATCGATCACCGATGCTTACGCGGCTCTAAATGAAGAACCTACCGACCCTCCGCATTGATTCTTCATTCGTAGTTAAATTTAACAAGTCAAAGTTTTGAATAGCCTGTGTGCAGCCGCCCCCTCCCCTCAGAAAAATTCGGAGAAGCACGGATAAAGGTCCTTTCAATAAAAATTTAGTTCCTCTTTCCCTAAAACCCTGGACCTGAATAGTTAAATGCTTATAGTTTTCATTGTGGCATAATAATTCCGAAAAATCGCTATAAAGTAATGCTTAAATTGCAGATTGAAGAAGCAACTCGTCCGTAGATAATCATTATTTAAAAATATTACATCACAGCGCGAAAATGTTATGCTGTGCAAACCCACATGGCCTTAGCCTGCGAGCAACCTCTCCTGTTTGGGCGAGTGAAAAACGAGGTTCGCTTCGTTTGCCCAAACAGGAGAGCTTGCTCGCAGGCTAACATGGCCTCGAGGTTTGGATCAGTCGCTTTCTCGTTCCGTATAAACACACAACTGTAACTCTTAAATAAATGAAATAAATAAAATAAAATAAAATAAATGAATAACGATTTAGAGGTAGCACATCCACTAAGTGATTCTTCGTCTACCTGATTCCTGGCCGAATTGGAACTCTTACCTCTCACAAAAGCTTTCAGAAAGAATGGTTGCAATTCAGTGGTAGCTTTAGCATCTTTCACTGTTTCAGAGTAATTGCCTATGAAAATGAAAAAAAGAACACACTCTTTAACAGCTCAGATAGGTATAACAGAACAAGGGGAGAGGTTACGATAGCTTACAACGTACTTACCTAGCAACTACTGCACTCGTTGGCAAGTTTCTATGCGCAGTCCATTCATTGATGCCGATCAGTTCAATAGACCAAAGATAAGATTTTTAAAAGCTAATATATAACAACTCTTACCCAAATTAAAATGTGCTGTCGGTCTGATAGGTTTAACAGAGCAAGGAGATAGGAAGCAATTAGCCTTACTTAACAACTACTAACTACTTCGAAAGTTTCTGCGTGCACTATTTAATGATGCTAATCAGTTAATAGACCAAAAGGTGTGATTTTTTAAAGCTAATATATAACAACTCTTACCCAAATTAAAATGTGCTGCCGCCCTGTTGCTGTACAGTTTGGCGTTAAGATCTTTATCCTTGCAGTTCGCTTTGATTCCTTCAGTGTAGAAGTGAATGGCGCTGTTGTAATTCTTCTTGTTGTATTCATCGTTACCCTCATTCTTGTAAACCTCTGCAATTGCTATAACAAAGGAAATGAAATGATTTTTGACTTTTGAAATGATAATGGCTGTTATACTACAACTGCTTCTATAAACCAAATTAGAAAACTTTCTATGAGTTTGACACAAATGCGTATCAGTCAAGGGTTTGACTGATGAGAATAATTTTAAAAGCCGTGCACCTGACAGAGGGATAAAGGCTTAATTTGTAACTAACCGCGTAAAATTTCTCTGCCATTGATATTTTATTGCAGAAAGTATATGATATTTTCATTTCTCACCTCTTAAATTGTCATCATCAAACTGAACGGTTTCCTCAGCGGGTGATGTGACGCCATCTTGTTTGGCTGCTTTGTTTGCACTTCTCTCCATGGTGGAATGCTTTAAAATTTATACCATTCAGACCATTAGGTTAATATTGTGGTGTTTGTAACCAATACTTTTTTTGTGGCATAGATATTCTGAAAGCTTGGCTAAAGTAAATTATTATCTCCATGTAATGTCATTTTGAGCACTTTTTAGCTTCATCAATACGCTTCCTTTCAATTTATAGTGTTGAAAGTACATCACAACACCTAAATAATTTCGTCTCATTATTCCTATGATCGATATCAATACCAGGTAAGACTGTTGAAGATGCCACCCCAGCTCGCCTCGGTTGATTTTCTAAAAACCATACACTAGATCAAGACAAGACACTCACCTATCTCTCTGCAAAGGTTCAGCAGCTAGCAACGGAACTTGCATTTATCATATCTAAATGAAGTAAACGTGTAACAAATATTATATTCCAAACAGGACGTTCGATGAACTGCATATTAATTAGGGTTTTTCCCTTGTTTTTGAACATTCACTTGCCAATTTTCAATGCCTCGCTGGGTAGGAATTAGTACAAGTCAAAACATGTTCCTTTGACTTGATCTCTCTTGTATTTTGTGTTTTAAATTTTAGTGTCACCTATTCATTTGCTAACATACAGTGTTAACAGATAAAACTATGAACAAGCGATGGAAAGTGAAAGTGGTGAAAATGTTGAGTGTTTCTTGGTGTTGAGGAAACCATTATTAGTTCGCTTTTGTGTTGTGGTGTGGGTATTGTGCAGTGTCTTTCCAATCTTTTGTATGACGTCATTTGGTGATTGCACTCTTCCGCAACACCAATAAACTACCAAAATATTCTGTTGTCTTACCCGAAAAGAATGAGAATTACACGGCTATTTTTTGTCAAAGACTTGGAAAAAGAAATTGTCGAACAAAGGATCAAAGAAATAATTTGGTAGAGGTTTAGTTTATTTCAAATGCTTTTAGTTATAGCCGATGTTGAATTTGGCGGAAGGAAGTTATAAAGTAATCTGCAGTTACTTAGTGTTAAAAAATATAAAAGTTGACGACGATATTATAACAAGGCGTAACATTTACTTATCATGTGAGGCTTAATTGAACAACAAGGATAAGACATTTTAGCAACAAGCGGGAATAACGTATCATTTACAATTGCAAATTTCCGAGTAAAATTATCTATTAATAGACAAAAGTAAATTCATTAAATATTGTTATGAAATGCAGGTATGAAAAAGAAATACACGATGTTATGATCAGCTTTTTATAATTAATTACTCAATTAGCATTAATTATGAAGCCAAAATTTAACTTAACTCTTCTGTATTTGTGTCGTGTTATGAACAAATATTTTGTTCCGAAAGTTTCCTTCAACCGGAACTTTGTTTACAGATAGTGTCGGATCGTTTGATCATTCAACGGCGGTCTGGTGACATGTAAATGAATTGAAAGTGGAGTTAATTCAGTCGGAACCTTCGGAAACCAAACGAAAACCTGGTGGAATTAGGCGCAAAAGAAGGGGCCTGATTGATTAGAGCACCTGTGTCCAGAAATTTAAGATCGATAGAACACTTGGAAGGGAGAGGTTAACTCCCTTGCCGCTCCCCCTACATCCGCCCAGGTACAGTCACAGTGTCGGAACGCTTGAGGGATTTTGTGTCATCCATACAAACTTTCCCGTCGTTAAACATTTTCGTTTACTGATTTTCTTTATTAAATACCGATGCCATAAGTTGCGTTCGATCGGAATAAACAAGCTGACTTTTATAGTGTAGGCAAACGTTTGACTTGAATCAACTTGATTGCAACGTCTTTGATCTTAAAAACCAGATTCCACAACCAGCGCAGTTGTGGCCAAATTGTGAAAAACTGTAGCCTAAAATTTGTCCGTCCTTCTTGTCTGGCAAGAGATGACGATGAACCGAGTCAAGCGAATGCGCTAGTTGGTTTACATAGCGTACACTTTCACCAGACTACCTATAATCCAAGAACCACTTAAATCTGACTTACAGTAAAAAGGATCGAGAGTCAAATTACCTTGCAATCGATCAGAAATTGGCTGAATCAATACAAGAGTATATAGAATTAAGTATTCAGCGAGAAACAACGACCAAAATTGTTAAATCAAGGTACAAATTACCTACCTTAGGAACAAAAAGCACACTTGATGCCCTTCGGAAGCCTACTTAGAAAGCATAATGCATCAGTCACACTCGGGCTCGCAAGGTGTTCCAAATGACCGAACATAATACTCCACAGTACTGTCCTGTAGACAGTTATTGTGAGTAACAAGGAATCTTCAGCCCAGAAAGATCTATCAATCATTACTTTGCTTCAAGGGGGAATACTTTAATCTGCTTTTTATGTAGCCTGACGTCAAAAGCAGGTTGAACGCAGCCCGCAAAGTATTAGGGGCAAATTATCTTGATGAGCATTGCTCCGTTCAGCTGTAACGAACTTTCAAGCATTGCGGAGCTCGCGTGGAGACAAATATCGCCTATACATGTAAAAGGCATCGAATCACCCAGATTGTTTTCGCTTTCAACATTACCATTTTCATTTTTCTAACTTATCGTACTCAAAAACTAAACGTGCTTGGGCACCAAGTGTGAACCGCTTTATTATTTAATTTGAAGTTTCACGACGCTCATCATAGTTCGTTGTCTGTTCATAAAATTCAGGAGTGAATTTGAACCCTTCTCACTAAAGATTTTGTCAAATAGTTTAAAATCTGAGGAATATGACCGAGGGGTACTCCCTTATATTATCCATATAGGTATGTGCCGCCCCAAAGGGTATGGTTTTGGCCTTCCTTTGGTCTGAAAACGGGTACAGATTTTGCCCATTTTGGTCTGGAATCGTTTATGGTTTACAAGGGAGTCTACGTAGTGTATGAATGTGTTTTGTTGGCTTTATAATCTCTGAGATTATTACATAATTTCTGTTGATGTAAACATGTACTAATGCGTTTTGTGACCACCTCCAGGTCCGAAAACGGGTATGGATTTTTTAGGCCAGGTCTGAAAGCGGGTGTGGAAAATGACAATTTTTTGGTCTAAAATAGGGTCAGGATTCGTAGAACCGGGCGTGGCCCACCCCTACCAAGAATTCCCAGGAGTACCCTCACCGGGGAATATGAAGGAGACTATTAATCCAATTTCCCAGCCCAGCTCAATTCTTTTTCTCAAATCATATTTCTGGTGTACAAATCCCATTCCCAACAACAGTGTTATATTTATTAGCCAATTTCTCAGAGGTCGGCTCCCAACTTAACGGCCGGTTTTTTGCATTTAACTGAGCCATTTTATTTTGCTCTTCTGAGAGAAGCTCCTATGGCAGTAATAATATTTATCTATTTGTAATTGATACCGGATTCCGGATTTCTGGTTTTAGGCAAGCCCAGGAAGAAGCCTCGAGGTAACTCGCTGACAAAATATTATTCAATGTCTGTTTAAATTTGCCAAATGTCAGCGATCATCGAGTTGAAAGACTCGTTTGCAAAAAGCCTTGCAGCAATCTTCCTTACATCCACTTCTTAAAGCAACAGTAATATGGGAATAAAAAATTAACTTACATTACAGTTACTTTAAACGAAGGCAAGTGAATCTATTTCTAACGACCAAAACTTCACTTGCCTCTACTTGTACTTATCTCCAATTGACCGAATTAATTCTTTTCTAAATGTCCGAGGTTCGCTGGGCAATTTCGCAAACGGTAATCAATGTTCATTACCCAAGACATGGCTAGGCATCGCGTACGAACCAGGAAAAGGTAACTACGTTCTACTTTCCCTTCTGTGTTAACCGTAGCAACGTTTTCCTCAATCAAACAGCGTTTCGTCCAATATAAGGTGCGGTCACACAGGACACTTTTACCGTTTTAAATGACCCTTTTACCGCGGTGAATTGGCTACAGACGTACGAGCTGACATGTTTACGTTTGAAACCAACCGCTGACCCAGCCTCATCTGAGCCTTTCTGAAGGCGGGAAGAGGTCGGGGATGGATGTGGGGTGGGGAGGAGGAGGTTCTGATTGAGTTATGTATGACTGCTGTAGAGTATCCCCGGCTTCGATCCTGACATGTTGCGCTAATAAAAATATTATGTGTGCCGAAAAGATGATTTGCACGATATGTAAAAGCTGGCATGGGCGTTAACCGATGCTTCACATTAAATTAAATTATGTTCAACCTTTGTCATGGCCTAATTTCTTGCGACACTGAGGGCTGAAGGGCCTTGCGTTGCCGGCCGAGGTTTAGTATAATTATTTCGAAAATCGCACCCCGCGTGGAACGTGCGTGGATTGTACAGCGAGCCCGAAACGATACATTTATGTAGCGGTTGGTTTCTTCAACGACGACATAAGATGAAAAACATGGTCTGTTGTTTTACTTTTGGTGATTACTTTCGACAGCAGAAGCAATTTGGATCATTACCTTGAAAATATGAGAGAGAAATGGAGAATATTTATCAGTGCGTCTCAGCATCTTAAATTCACCACTTTCAAGTTGCCCATGATACATTTGATGTCGTATAAATAGCAATTTACTGTGCAACTCACATTATCTATATATTGTTTTTTGCTTTGTACAGTAGTTTATCTTTCTAACAAACCCTTGTTTTTAAACCTTAACTGTCGTTAATTGTAATAACAGTCGTCGAGAATTGTAAAAACCAAGCTATATTG